CCTCCCGAGGTGGAAAGGACTGGCTGGTTCTCTTTCCCACCCCCTCTCCCGTTAGCACGCAGGCCTCTGGCCTTCTTGTGCTCAAGGCACATGGGAAGGGGGGAATGCCTCCTTCATCTTGGGACTGCCCAGTTGGAAGGGGACCCTAAGGGTCATCCAGTCCAGCCCCTGTCAAGGAGGCACAGAGTGGGACTCGAACTCCCAACCTCTGGATACCTAGGCCACTGAGCTACCCAGCAGGTTGGAAACAACAACAGCAGAATAAAGGGTCCCTTCCACTCAGGAGGAGCAGCAAAAGGTCTCAAACACAGCCCTTTAAAAAGACTACGGAGGGAAGAGGTTCTCCATTCAAAAAAACAGAATTATCCTCCCAAGCCTCAGTGAACGGCGGGAGGAGCTAGCCAGTTTCAAATTCAGGCTAGTGGAGGATGCCCTTGGAGAAACACCCAAGCCTGGGAGAGGTGAAAAGGAAGAGATTTTCCAAGGAGGAAGCACCGTGACACCGTTGCACCCAAAAACCACCGAGCCTTCCTTCTGGTGTCTTTGTCAAAACATTTGTGTGTACAGAGATCAAAAATACTGTAATAATAATACTGTAATACTGTGGTTTAGGGGGGAAAATATAATCCCGGAATTTTGCATTGAGCTTTGAAAATGAGGTTTGAGCAGCAGTTTACTAAACGTTGTAGAAGAGACAGGCTGTGTTAGTCCGTGCAAGCATTATAGCTCAAAACTAGATCAAATTTTAAAATAATTTAAAAATAAAAGAACCAACAAAAAAGAAAGGAAAATCTTTTCCTCCCAATAAATGTGGATTCATTTTTCAAGAAAGACGTTTGCCCATGCACAGAAACATGGCTCTCAGGTGTATTTCCCACTCTACAAATTCTAGAGCTGAGGAATGTCGTGTTTCAACTTAAAAATCTGGAAGGATCTCCCATCTCCCCTGACTACCCAAATTCTGCCTCCCCAAAAAGAAAGGGACCCATGGCTGCAGAGAGAAACGGAACCATAGTCCAGGAAGGAGGGTGCACAGAAACATTTTAAGGTGTCCTTTTATTAAAATGTGCGTCGCCGTTCTGTGTGGCTTGGTTTGCTGTTGTCCGGCTGCCAGTGTGTTTCCAGGGACAGCCGCCGTGGCCTCAGCACTTGGAGTCCGACCTGGGGAAGGCTTCAGGTGGTCCGTGGCCTGTGGCTTCCACCCATGGCAATGTAGACGTCGATGGGGACGTTAGGCAAGGTCAGGCAGTGACACCCTGGACATCTTCGCAGCTGCCTGCAGTGGAAGGGAGAGACGGAAGAAAGAGAGGCCCTTGCCGTTATTCACACACGCTTTGCAAAATGGGGTCTGCCCTACATTTTCATAACATGGAAAAGGAAACATGGCACACTGCAAGCTGAAATCATCTTCTGCCCGGGTTTTGGGACGAAATCCCTTCTCTGGAGCCTAAAACATGCAGAATTTCCCAGCACCCAAGGTGAGCAAATTCTGAGAGTTTTTGTCCAAGAGAGAGAGAGAGAAAAGCAAGATTCTCAACCTTGATGTTATTGCGGTGCTTGGAAAGCAATCAGAATGATTCTGTGTGGTCTTTGGGTTGTGCTTCCTCGCTGACAGCCCTCCTTCTCTATGGAAGGTGGGCTTTGTGAGCACAAAATGACACAGAGAGGACCACACAGAGGTGGGCTCTGGGTATGATAAACCTGAAAAGCCTTAAAGATGCCACACATCTGTCAGTGAAGAAAAAGGTAATGAAAGAGTAATAGGTGAGGACCTCATGGACAAGGCCAACTCTTGAGTAAGCAAGGAGTTCCTTTTGGAACATCAGCTTCCAAGCTCTGCCACTTTCAGCAAAAAGAGGGGCAGTGGTCATTCAGCTCCTCTCAGTAGGAAACCTAGGCTTACCTTGTTGTAGTGCGCTCAGGGGTAACTGGATCCTGAGTTTCGGGGGCCGTTGCCAGGCTGGGAGAATCTCCAGCCTCTATGGGAAATCTCCGAGCTTGTGGGGTCTCTTGGGAGCTCATGTCCGAGCCCCAGACCTGTCTGACAAAGAGGAAACAGGTGAGCGGAGTGGGGCCACCCTCCTCGGCTGCTGAGCCCATGCCTCAGACCCTCCACCCTAATGAAAAAGACCACCCTAGAAGGAGGTGCCCTCAGGGTTCAACTAGAAAGCAGAGACGTCCAGGGTCCAATTCATAGATACCTACCAGGGAGGGGAAGAAGAGAAAGCCGAGATCGTGTGGTCGGAATTGCACGTTATGCACAGAGTGGTGCGTGGATCCTATGTGGTCAGAATTGCACAACGTTATGCACAGAGTGGTGCGTGGATCCTGTCCATGTACACAGCACTAAGGACCCAGCCTTCTGGCATTCCTGAACTACTCCCATGTATCAGCTCAGGGAAGCCAGAAGTCATTGGCGACCTAAACTTTGTCAACACAGCAGCCTCGAGACCTGAAAACTATTGTCTCTTTCCCAAGACAACTGTAACATGTTTTGCTTTTAAAACTGATCTGGTGCCTTCCAGAACATCTTGGTGCGCAGAAATTAAGACTTTTTTTTTTGCTGGGGTGGAGAAAAGTGGCCAGCAAGTGCAACGTATTAGGAGTCCTAGAAAGTGCTCCTCGCTCGGGGTTAAGCCCTCTTCGAGCGAGTTCTCCACCTCAGCCCTGAGCCAGAGTGAGATGCTCAAAGTTCAGCATCACGCAGGCCAGCCGGCTGGCCTCTTCTCCGGGCTGAGCTCCTCGCTCTTAACGCCTCTTCTGCCCCGGCCCATCCTCACCTCTCAGTTTCGGAGGAGTGCTCCCTGGAGTCAACCGGCCAGCCTGCCAGAGCCTATTGCAAGAGGGCAGGTTGGGATGGAGCTCAGAGGGAGGCAGCATTGTGACCCGGACAGGCAGTGCTTGCATCACAATCCAGCCCAGCCTTCTCTCAACTTGGGGTCTCTAAGCCGGGGAGGGGGGGGGGCTCCAGGTTGGGACTTCTGGCTGTGCCAAGCAAATCTATTCCTTTTTTTGGCCTCCTGAAAATGAAACCTAGGGCTGCCTCTTACTTCCTGTCTCTCTGGTACTTTCCGCTCTTTTCCTCGCCTGCCCAAGGAAGTCTCCCTCGGAACAGACTTTGTCTGCCTCTTGGATAGCCACCAAGACAGGCGTGTCCCGATGGGGTACACCGGGGTACAACAGGAGAAGAGTTCATGAACCAAGGAGGCATCTATGTTCTGCCCTCCTGACATTATTTGGACGAGCTGAAGCAGCACGTGTTCCAAGACAACAGCACCAACACCCGATACCATCCTTGGTAAGATCTCAATTCCCTATTTAAGTGCCGTGAGCCCACAGCAGCTGCCATGTTTGCCTTGGGTAGAGACAACGTAGGGCTCCCTGAAGGTTGCGCAATGTCTCTAGAGCATGCGCCCGAGCTTCCTATAATGTGGTGGGAATTGGGCTCTGGAACACTCGGGGGCCTCAGGTTGAAACCAGGCTCCTGGTTTCAAGGGAACCTTCATCTCCAGCCTGTTCCTCCTTCACCTCATTCCTTGCCCTCTACCTGCCTCTGTGGGCAGGTGGCTTCCAAATTATGTGACCCACCCTCCTTAGCCATCAGAGAACAGCAACTCAGGGAAGGAACAGAACACTCAGGGCTCCTGGTTTCAAGGAACCTTCATCTCCAGCCTGTTCCTCCTTCACCTCATCCCTTGCCCTCTACCTGCCTCTCTGGGCAGGTGGCTTCCAAATTATGTGCCCCACCCTCCTTAGCCAGCCTCCTCAAAGGGGAACAAGTGCTTCCAACCACCTCTGGAAGGTTGCCCTTTGCCCCCCAGGAACCTTCATCTCCAGCCTGTTCCTCCTTCACCTCATTCCTTGCCCTCTACCTGCCTCTGTGGGCAGGTGGCTTCCAAATTATGTGACCCACCCTCCTTAGCCATCAGAGAACAGCAACTCAGGGAAGGAAGTGAGTCCGTACAGTCAGGAATGACATGCAACTGTCGACTTCGCATAACGTGGGAATAGAGATGGGCACAAACCTCATTTCAGAGGTTTCTGCTAGTTTGTAAGCGCAGAACAAGTGCTGCACGTTCCCTTCTTCTGCCACCCTACATAACGTGGGCACAAACCTCATTTCAGAGGTTCCTGCTAGTTTGTAAGCGCAGAACCACAGGTGCTGCACGTTCCCTTCTTCTGCCACCCTGGCCAGTGGCCCACTCCACCAGCAGGCACACGCTCCTCTCCTCCTCCTTGGCTATTCAGCCAGTTACCCGGCAGGAGCGCGGCTTGCCTGTCCTGCCTCTTTGTCCGAGTGGGTGATCAGCCAAGGGGGCAGGGCAGGGAAGCCCGTGCTCCTGCCAGGGACTGGCTGAACAGCCGAAGAGAAGGAGGAGAGGAAGGTGCACTGGCTGGTGAGTGGAAGATCCAGCCGGGAAGGCAGGGGAAGGGTCTGCAGAGCACCTGCGATGCCATGCTTACAAACTGGCACGAATCTCCGAACCAAGGTTCGTGCCCATCTTTGCTTGGGAACGGTGGTGGTTGGAGGCTACGGTTTGGGGGGGGATGTTACGCGGGAGCTGGCCATGGTGCTGAATCCTATCCCCCAAATACTGCACGTTCTATGGTTCGAAAGCGCAGATTGAAACCTGCAGTGGATTCACAGTATTAGGCATGGGATTTTCACATTTTGGGGGCTGTGAATAACATAATTCTGACATTATTGAGATTTCCACCAGACAGACTGACCGCTGCAGGCACCCCAGTGTGGTTCACTAGGAGAAAAGGCCAACCTGGAAGGGGGTTTTGTGGCCTGAGATAGGCTTTGCTCCACCTTAGCTTTCCATGCAGAAAGGAAGTATTCCCCACTGCTAGCAGAGAGTTTCTGAACAGGAAGTTAGGCCACGGCTAAGATGCTAAGCCTTTTCTACTGATGAGCTGTATTTACCAGTGTGTAGGTATGGGTCTATTAAGTGGAACTCACAAAAGGAGAATAATGGGTTTTGTAGTCCAATAATCCCATGGTTTACACAAACTCTCCCAAACCAGAGTCACATTCATAAATTCCATTATGACGCTGGATTTCCCAGTGTCTTAACAAGCTCTTGCAACTTTTTAAAGATGCGGTTGGACTGCAATGCCTACCGTTCCCTCATCATGGGCCATGGCCAGTGCAGCTAAAGGGAGCTGGAATCCAGCATCCTCTCTTACGGCCACAAAGTGCCCCCTGTTTTTCCTAAGCCCACCATGCTGGCCATCCTTACGGCCTGCATTTCTTTGTGCGGACCCAGATATGACGACCACCATCCATGCATCTTGGAAGAGACAAGAGCAAAGATTTCCTGTAAAGACTACAGTTGATTCCTCAGCATTTCTCGTGGTTGGGGCCACGCCTGAAAGCATCTTATCACTAAACAAGGAAGAGGTCGACAGAATGAGGGTACTTACTTTTAGGACTTGCCCGACGCAATTAAAGCCACCTTGTGCCAAACAGACTCAAGCCTGCAGACTTCCATGATGGGAAAAACACACTAACTTAAGGGTTCATAGTGGCAACTAGAAGATGTACCTACACTATGAGTGCTAATACTCTCTGACTCCAGGCCCCCCCAGCTGTAGGCCTCTTGAGAGGTTAACCCATAACCCCCCTGGAAGGCACTGGAGAGACCTGCTTTTTCCTTGGGGAGGAGGGTTGCCTATGTTTGTCCTGTCGCCATTGGTGCATAACCCCTACCTCTTCCCTTGGTCCTTGGGTAACACAAGGTCGCATCACAATGGGGGCTTAAAGTTTCAAGATGTCCCACCTCAGAGTTTTCAGCCTTCATCCAAGGACGTTGTCTGGACAGGAAAAAATGATCTAGCATCCTGGGCTGCAATCGATGCAGACCCTGGTTTGGGACGAGGAGGACGGCGATGTGTAGACTTTGGAATGACATGATGTCCTGAGAATGACAGATGAGCACGTTAAAAACACGATGGAGGAGTTTCTCGTCTCCCATGGTTACCAGCTGGGCAAAACCATCGGAGAAGGGACGTATTCAAAGGTCAAGGAAGCTTTTTCAAAAAAACACCAACGGAAAGTGGCTGTGAAAATTATAGACAAAGTGGGAGGACCAGAAGGTAAGCGCCCAAGGGAAGACAGGAGAGTAAGAAGGGCCTCGGTGTGATGTCACAGGCCTACCTAGGAACAAAGGTCTGACAGGGGTGCTTGTTTCCAGGGACCATGTTTTTCTGCCGAACTTCTCCATGGCAAATATGGAGACATGAAGAAAGTCCTTTTGTAAAGCAACATCTGGAGCAGATGTAGGGTTGAACTCTCTCCACAGATGTTGCTCACCAACAAAGTGCCCTGCCCTGCCCTGCCCTTCTTCCTAGGTAGGACTGGAAACTTCTGGAACCCTCTCCCCAGGAGGTGGGGAGTTTGTTATAGGGCTCATTAAACTGAGTTCATTATCAACACAAACAAGACCACCTCTTGATGCATCTTCTGGCTTGCACATCAATTAAACTTGAGCCCAGCTCTGTCGGAATTCCTTATATATATGTTGTGACTCCGAGGCAGCTGCCAGTGTCATTTTTAAGTGGACCCAATGACACAGCCGGATGCTTTGGGTGGACTGTTCTCAACAGACATGCCTCAGTCATGGTTATCTGTGGTCATCTGGTGATCTCCAGAGGAGATCTCCAAGGGATTGTAGGAAGGCTGCCTCTGGATGCTTCAACATTCACATGGGGTCCCAAAGACAGCCGCAAGCTTCCTTGACGGCCACCATCTTTGGGAAGTGGTTTCACCAATGCTTACCAAGAGTCCCATCATGCCAAGTGTCTCTGTGCTCAAGGTTACCTTTAAATCTCATTCCAACTTAGGGCTCCTGTCCAGCCCCCAGATCTTCCTCAGATGATCTCCCCGGGGGTACACAGCCTCTCTGAAGTGAAGGCAGGTGGAGATGGCTTTTCCATCCGAAAAGCCTTGGGTTACCACCCACACTGATGTCTTCCACATATCAGGCAGAATATTGTTTTTACTTCGCAATGCTTTTAATTCTTTGGGATTTTTAGAAACACCAAAACGCCACTAATTAACCCGCTACTTTCTCTTCTGCTCACTTGTTTGCTCTTGCTTTTATCCAGCAAATATTTTTATTAATTGATAGAATGCATGCAATTCTACATCCCTTGATGAAGCAGGTACATAGGAGTGTTTCACCACAGCAGGGTGGCAAGAAACGCTCTTCCTCCTGCCACGTGGGGCTCTCTACTAGCCCCAGTGTGGCTCCAGATAGCCATGCCAGGTTGGCCAGCTGCCCCAGGGCTGGTGGGCATCTGAAGGGCCAACTTTCCCCCAGGGGCTATAATGATCTCTGCAACCCAACTCAGGAACTGTTAACTAGAGGGTTTCAAATGCATCAGCTCCATTTACATGGAGTTCAAAGCTGTCCCAAAGGTGTGCCTGCCTTCGTTTTGATGATGTTCAGGTGTCACAGCATCCTTCTTAGAAGATGCATTCCCTCCGGGCAGATGAGAATACCTCTTAGACCGAATGCAATGCCAGCTTCCACAATAGAAGCACACCTAGATTGAAAGTACAGTAAATGTTTAAATAATGGCTCCCCAGTTTATGAGCCATCCCTTTCAATATTAACTGAACCAATGACCCCAAGAAATCTTAGGGACCCAATGGATTGCACAGCCAGGGCATGTTCTACAGCAAGAGTATGAACACCTTTGTAAGAGCACGTTGTGAGCAATGTCTAAAAACAATGCCCAGTTTGCTTGCTCAGACATAGCTTCTGTTAGTAAACATGTTCATTATATAGGACTTTAAGCCTACATAACTGGTGAGTCCTTCAATTCTTGACTTGGGGATGCTCTCCGTAATACTGTGCCATCCTTGGTCCCATCCCATTTCCATTTTCTTAGAGTTCATCGAGAGATTCCTGCCCAGGGAACTCCAGATCATCAAGCGCCTGGACCACAAGAACATCATCCGGATGTATGAGATGTTGGAGTCGATGGACGGGAAGATCTACATCGTGATGGAGTTGGCGGAGGACGGTGACGTCTTCGAGCGCGTCCTGCAAGAAGGGCCTCTGCCCGAGAGCCGAGCCAAGGCCCTCTTCCACCAGCTGGTGGAAGCCATCCGCTACTGCCACGGTTGCGGTGTGGCGCACCGCGACCTCAAGTGCGAGAACGCCCTCCTGCAAGGTTTCAACCTGAAACTGACCGACTTTGGATTTGCAAAGCTGCTCCCCAAGAACCGCAAGGAGCTGAGCCAGACGTTCTGCGGCAGCACGGCCTACGCGGCCCCTGAGGTGCTGCAGGGCGTGCCCCACGACAGCCGGAAAGGCGACATCTGGAGCATGGGGGTGGTGCTCTACGTCATGCTGTGCGCCAACCTGCCCTTTGACGACACGGACATCCCCAAGATGCTCTGCCATCAGCAGAAAGGGGTCTCCATCCCAGGCCACTTGGAGATCTCCGAGGAGTGCCAGGACCTCCTCAAAAGCCTGCTGGAGCCAGACATGGTCCTGAGGCCTTCCATTGAGGAAGTGAGCTGGCACCCATGGCTAGCAAGCTCTTGAGAGAGAGAAGGACCGTTCTGCACGCTCCCCAAATAAAAGGGGACAGTCCGTTGCCAAATGCTCACATATATTTTAACGTTATGCTCAGTTTCTGGTCTATCCTTACCCTCTACCCCCAACAGCTTGCTTTTAAAAAAAGTAGATAGGTTGGTATCTTGTGCATCCCCTTCTCCAAGGGAGTAAGACATGCCAGTCACGTTTGCCCTTGACCTGCCAAAATCCAGGTATTTTGGAAGAACACCTGGATGAAAAAAGAGTGGATTTGTTCCGTTCTTGCAGACATTTTCCCTTTCTCTCTCTCTCTCCCTCATCCCAACCCTTTTCCTAAGGCTGCATCTAAGAAACACCTCAGGAAAAATTAGGGGATAGGACAGTGTATCAAAGGAGCAGGCTATTACCCCCACCTACCACCAACCCAAAGCCCATCAAAAAACAAACAAATGGTTTTAATGGCTGCTATGCCTCAGGTCTCTGTCCCAATACATTCCTAAATAAAACCGGAGCATGTTGCCTTGTGCCAAATGGAACAATCCGCCTGTCTAACTTTGGACAGTCTGTTCCAACTGGTAATTTCTCTCGACTCTCAGCCTGGAAGCTGAATAGCCGGAGATGCCAGAGGTGGCCCCTGCTGGATTAGCCACGGAAAGCTTTGTTGCTTCGCTCTCACTCTCTCTTGCCGAGAAGCAAGGTCTTTGCTCTCTCCACCCGTGACACAAGGAGAGCGAGCAAAGCGGGAGGGCCTTCAGGCAGTCTGTTCCCAAAAAATCCCAATGCCTACCTGCTGAAAAAAACATGATGGGAACAAAACTAACTCTTGTTCCCTAAAGCCTCCAGGATTTGCAGAAACCAGGGTGAAGGCTTCCTGCAAAAAGAAGGAAACCCACCAAAAGAAAACTGGAAGTAGATTCCTTGTATTCCCATCAGAGGAGCGCCCCGCACTAATCCAAAATGCTGGGAACACAGCTACCTTCACCCTCTGTCCGAAGATGTGGAATCTCAGAAACGAAGGCACTGAGAAGAGGCGACAGCGCCAGAGCAACACAGGTCCAGGCCGGTGAACAAAATCAAGAGGCCAACATGAGTAGGTCATTTCTATAGAACTCCTTTAATCGCTGTTAATGACAAGTCTGTAAAAGGTTCAGGAGAAAGTCATAATTACAAAACTAACAGCTGTTAAGAGTCACTTGTTCACCCCCAGCTAGAAAAGTCCAGGGAGATGCAGTATAATTTAAAAATGAGAGAATATTGCACAACCAAGAGTAGAGAAATATTATCTAAGGAGAAGTATGATGAAACCAGAGCCCCCACGCGCGTTCCCGGTTCTAGCTGCGCAGGAGGCCCGCCGTTGGCATCCACCTTCCTGGGAACAGAATTTGGGCCACCAAGTTCTGTCCCATCATCATTCACCACACACACACGCGCACACACACGCACTCTTAAAAGCAAGCTAAATGAAGGGGCCGTGTTCCTCCCAGCTACCCTATTTTGTAAACTCTTGAGATATAAAGCTCCCTCAGAAGTAGAGTTGGCATCACAAGGTTCCTGGTTCAGAGGCCTTGCCCGGATGGGCCTGTTTCCATTCCACACCAAGATGTTCTGCTGGCCTATCTCTGACCTAATCTGCAGGTGGTGGGGGAAAACATCAACATTGCAACACACACACACAGTCCTCTCCATCCTCCCAGCCCGAGATGCTCCTTTGTGACCTGGCGAAGCTCCTCTGTGGGTCCCCACAAGATGTCCAGAGATCAGCCTCTTGAGGGATCCGGTGGCGTCCGTAAAAAGGCTGGTGCCAACTTCATCTTCTAAGCTCTATGCCATGGTTGTGAACTGTGCGGGGCAGCTGAACGCACAACCCTAACGCCCCCCCGGCCTGGCCCAGTTGAAGTGTCTGTTTTGAAAAGTGGCATTCTTAGAACAGATCCCATCACTGATCCTTCTCGTCCATTATTCCGTGAATTCTTCCCTGGCAGAATCTGCTCTCCAGGGCCTCGGGCAGAGAGTCCTTTTAACTGCTTGCTGACTGCTCTTTTAAAGGCAGGCAGGCAGGCCCGTCTGGTCCCTGCTTCAGAAGCGGCGAGCTCATGCAAGCGGCCGACAGACTGAGCAAGGCATCCCAGATGGCACGCTATAGATAGAAGAAACTGTTTTTAAAACAGGAGACTTTGCTTCCTTCAAAGGCATCTGCCTTTTGAGTGGATTTAGTGGGGCCATTCATACAAGGGCTTGTAATCGAGTCACCACACTGTCAAGACGTCATCATCTGTCCCCTCCCCCACCCGGGATGGGCACCAGACTTAGCCGTGTCACCTTCAGGACTGAAAGGGTGAATTCGGGGTGAGTTCCCAACAATCTGGCTGGAGAGCTCAGCGGTTTAGGGATCTGGCTGTGGAGCCAAAGCGGGAGACTTTGCTTCCTTGAAAGGCATCTGCCTTTTGAGTGGATTGCTGTGTTCACCTCCCCCAAAGTTTTAGTGGGGCCATTCATACAAGGGCTTGAGTCCTCCCTGTGAGTAAAGCCAGGGTTTGTCGCCTTGGGCAAGCTGCACACAATGCGAGACATGCCCCAGAAGAAGGGAAAAGGGGAAACCAATTCTGAGCACTCTCTACCTGGAAAACCCTGCAAAGGGGTCACCACAAGGCATCCCTGTGAGTAAAGCCAGGGCTTGTCGCCTTGGGCAAGCTGCACACAATGCGAGACGTGCCCAAAAAGAAGGGAAGAGGGGAAACCACTTCTCTACCTGGAAAACCCTGCAAAGGGGTCACCGCAAGGCAGAGTTGACTTGATGGAATGTGATGATTATTTTATTAATAATAATCTATTTCCTCAGACATATGGCGTAGCATAAGTCCCTGCCTGCCTGCCTGCCTGCCTGCCAGTAAGTCCCTGCCTGCCTGCCTGCCACCCACGAAAGCCCCCACTGAAATGAACCTGTTAAGAGTCGCAGGACTTGTTTTTGGGTTTCCTACGACACCTGCTGATACGGATTAACGCGGCTGCCCCTCCAAGGCCCGTGGTGTCTTGCTTCCTCGGACAGCCTCCTTCACGCCCTGGCCTCCTGCTCCCTGTTCCCCTGCCTCTTCTCTTCCTCGTGGCAGAGGAGGAGAACTATGAAACTGCCAGGTCCCTTCCCTAGCCCCCCTTTGGCACTCTGAGAAGCCAAGTGAGTGGGGAGAGCAGGCGCTCCAAAGGGGGGGAGGGAAAGGGGGGCGGCTATAGGGAGCAGGGGCGGCCGTGAGAGAAACCCGTGGCCTCATCTCACAGCAACTCCACTGCTGGCTCTGGCCAGGACCAGACCTCCGCTCACGAGCATGCCTTCGCGTCCCCCGGGGAGGGGCCGGAGCCTACTTCTGACCACTGCCCCCTCCCCGGGGAAGAAGAAGCTGCCTTTCCACACAGTTGCACAGCTTTCCTGTGCGTGTAGGAAAGCTTCCTGGCAGATAGCAACCAAGGAAGGCTGATTTTCATTTTGGACCCGTTGGAGAGGATGACAATCGGGACCGATCTGCTCCAAGGCCAGTCTTCAGAGACTCCTTTTGACACAGCTGCAGGGCGGCCAGGGCGAGCCAGAGGAAGAGGGAGATTAACTGCCCAGCGTCGACCAAAAGGCAGAGGGGATGAGACGCAAAGACACTGAGCTAGCCGGGGCATGGGCAAGGACCTCACATGACCTCACAGGCAGGCGCCGTCAGAGGTGAACAGCCAACCGGATGGCTTGTGGGGAAGAGTGAAGCACGGCCACAGTCAGGAAGCGTCTGCACGGGGGGAAAAAACACCTACCGACAGTGACTCACAGATGCACGAGGGAAAATAAGGTGGGCAGGGGAGGCACAAGGCATTGGCAAACACTGATCCTTCAATGCAGACCCATGCTATGCTATCAGGCCTCCTCCCGAGAGAGGAGCTGAATGCAAGAGGTCGTGGAGAAATTGCCCCCACCCCCACTCTGTATTCCCAACCCCTTTTTACAGAGGATTTCCCGAAGGGGGTTGGCGGAGCTCCATGGGTGCACAACGCCTCCCTCCCTGAAAGGCAGCTTTTCCAGGAGATGCTCCCGCAGGCATGGCTCAGAAAGGATTCACTGCAAGGACCTTGTCTTCCAAAACTGCTTCAGTCTCCTGGAGAACAGAGAAGGGGCCGTACTGGCAGGTCCAAGGCCGAGGAGGAGACGTACGAGGTCTTGCAAGACCAGATCCCTGTCCAATGATACGGGGGCCTTGTGGGGGACCAGAAAGAACAGCCGGAAGCCAGGCTCTGGATGGGGCTCTCCACCCTTAAAGGCAAGAGGCCAGAGGAGCAGGCTGAGGGCCTTTGCTCTGGGAACCCCTCGAAGCTAGCAAAGTTGCAGGAAACAACCCAACAGGAGGTGGCAGACACACAAGACAAGCTGCCATCCTTGAGATAATCCGCGTACACTGTAAGATGCAGTCCAAGGCAGGACCCGCTCCCTCCCCACCCCCAAATTCAATCCCCCCATCAAATGACAACCACCTCAAGTCGAAAAGAGAATCGGGAAAGAGAAGAGCAGAGAACGACCGGTCCAAGAGGTCTCTAGTGAAAGAGG